TACCTAACTTTGTAACAGCCTTAATTACCAAACTCAATAAATAAGTTTTTTTTTTTGTACTAACCACTAATGATCACCAATTTGTAGGGCACAAATGAGTAACCAATAATAATCTAATAATTGCTTAATGTTTTTAGATTGTCATAACTAACTCTCTTAAAAAAATTTGTATTTTTAAAGTTTTAAAGATTAAAGCAATTGTTTATTTCTTTTGAGAATAAACAATATTTATCTGATCATTCAAATAAAAAGCAGAGAAGAGACCCTAAAAGAAAACAATGCATGATTTTCTCAAGTATTGGAACAATTTTAGTTTAGCAACCTATCAATTTTTAAGGTTTTTTTTTTTTCCAAAATGTGTGTCTTGGGGTTCTTAATAAGAATGTAAAAAAAAAAGGTCGGACGGACTTAGTTTTGAAGTTATCGGTGAAAAACTTCAAAAAGTAGATTTTTTTTCAAAAAAATGCTTAGAATTGATTTTTTTTATCAAAATGTGTGGTTTTTGACGCACAATACATTGGTGTGATCAGAACTTACCTCGCGTACTTACTTTTGAAGTTATTGCAAGTAAACAATGAAAAATAGCATTTTCAAAATTAATCCAAAATTTCTTTGAAAACTTGTTTACAATCAATATTTTTAATATTTTTTTTTTTACTACATACAGTTCCAGATGAAAAAGTAATTAGATAAAAAAATTGATAATTAGATGAAATATAAATAAATATAATATACAATTATAATATATTATTAGACAAGATAAAATAATCATATTAACTACTGAAATAGAAATGTATAAATAATTTTCAAAATTAACCATTTCTTTATATTTCTGTAGACGTAGATAGCCTACATAGGCTCTAATTTTTAAGAACAATGCACTTAAAATTGTCTCACAGTGTGATGTTTTAGTTTAAAAAATTTTAAATTTTGAATACAATGAGCGTGTTATGGAGAGTAACTACTTGCGTGTTTCGGCACTCGTTGCTAAGCTCCTCGGCGCCATCGCTTCGCTCCGCAAATCGAAAATATCCCTCGACTTGCTATGCAAAACCACAAAACTTCAAAACTAAGTCCGACCGACCTTTTTTTTTTTTACATTTTTATTAAGCACTCCAAGACACACATTTAAAAAAAAAACCTTAAAGTTTGGTTGCTAAACTAGAATTATGCCCAAGTATTAATGGCAGCTATTGAACAAAATATATATCTTCATTATACTAACTTCTAATTGAATGGGGTTACCAATAGTGGCCACTCAATAAAAAAAAGCGAGTAAGTGGATGTCGCTATGTTGTACAATAGGTCAATGTATAATGGATTGTATCAAACTTTAATTCAATGATATAATATCATTGTATAAGAAAAACGATTCTGAGAGGAGATGGTTTGTCAGTCTAGATATTGAATATTGTTATTACTTATTATTTACTATAGCCTGTAAGTTGAATTAATATTATAATATTATAATTTTTTATTCGTTTCTATGGTGATAAAAGCGTTAGGAATTAAAATCCATTTTTTAGCAGTTTTTCGTAGTTTGACAGTGGTTTTTGCCGTGGCATTAAATAATTATTGAAAAATTCAAAAAATGAAATATCTAAAGTACCATATTGATCCAATTTGCTAAAAAATTGGATACTATATGTTTAAATCAAAGCAATCCTTCTAGTAGAAATTTTTCAAATAGGAAAAAAAATATAAGCACCATTGTAGAATCACTAGTTTCCACGCTCCGCTCAGAATCTAAAATAACTGATAAGTAATACATCTGGCTAATGGGTAACAATTAACAATGTCAAATAAATCTAATTAAATTATGTCTGAGAAAATAAGTAATATTCAATATAAATTATAGATTTTTATAGTAATATAGCTTGAGTGTATAGGATAACCCGATAACCATCCCTTGGGCCTTGAAGTTTTAGTTGATCACTACTAATGTATTCATGTCACTTACCGGTTGCCACTTAAAAACAATTGTTTCAGATTTATGGTAAAATAGGTTTCTGTAAGTCATGAAACTACTCTAATGATGTCTTAGAAACGATTTACTTTATAACACCACTAATTACAGAGTGGTAGAGTTTGTAAGCTAGATTGACGGCAAGTCAATGAATCAAAATAAATATATGATTATGTTACCTATACACTACTATAAGAACGTAATTAAGGTGAAAAAAATCTTACTTGAAATGTGAAAACTTCAGTTGGGTCTTGATATCTTGATTCACATTTAATACAAACAATAAATGTTTAATATATTAATATTATCAGTGGAACGATTAAACACCGTGATAACGTGCGCAGGACCATCATGACGAAAACAGCGACATAGCACAAGAGTTGCACTTGCACGCTTGCACGAGTGCAAAACAGTGAACACTTGCACTGAGCAGTGAGCACTGAGCACTGACAACAACTTACTGAGATCTGAGGCACGGAACAACGGCTTTTAACCCACAATTTAAATGAGTCGTGACGTCAAGTTATAGTGCTGTTGAATTGTGTGCGCTTCAAAGTTGGTCGTGTAGGTTACAGCTATACTTCATTGGGACTTGGGAGTGGGGATAGCACTGGTGCGCTCAGTTGATCAATATGCGATGAGAGCGCTCACTATTCAGTTGGCGGAGAAACGTGAACGCGATCAAATAATTGGGCAACGACCCACTATTCACTAAACAGTAAACACTAAAGACTAAACTCAGTACTTCACTACTTCACTACTCACGTGCTTAGACCTCGGTGATCACTGATCACTGCTCAGTCACAGCACTGTGTTTACTTTAGCTTTATAAATATTCCGTGGTGAGCGGTGCTTGTTATTTACGAGTGCACGACGCACCGTCGGCCATCTTTATATAACCGTAGCGTTCATGATAATTTCAACAAACGTGAAACGATGCGTAGTGACATTGAGCACTAGTTGGTATTTGATTTTGAATACCTATATTATTTAAAAACGATTTTTTCGGATTCAAATGCTTTTTTTTTTGTTAACCCTAACGGCTAACGTTAAAGATTTTGGTTTTAAAATTAGAACAACGATTTAAGCATAAAAATGGAACAGCTACTGAGGCCTTGTAAGAATATTATAGCAAATTTATGTTCAGCAGTTCTAATTTTGCATGTCTGGGTAGTAACCTTTAATAAAAGATTATTGGCCTATTAGAGTAGGTATGGACCTATTATCAAACTTAATTATTATGAGCGTTTGAAATTCATATTTTTACAAGATTTAATATTCACTCGATTTCTCATGTAGTTGTAATTCAAAAACGAATAACTGTAGATAGATGAACCTTTCACTGAATGTTTATATTTTCATTTTCTATACAGACTATACACCATAATATTTTGACTCTTTTTGAAATGTTTACGGACATTATCAGTTTTCAATTTTTTTAGTTTTTTAATCAGGGCTTAAACCCGTTTACCGGTTTTTCACAAAAACCGTTAAAAACCGTAAATTTTGAGAACCCTAAACCGATTATCTAATTTATCTGTAGTTTGGAAAGCGGATACCGGTAACCGATTAACAAAAGTTTATAAAGTCATATCCCAAAAACCAATTATCGACATTTCTGAAAACCGTTATTTTAGCGATACCTGGTAACCAGTACAATGAGGAAAAAAAAATTTGTTCCAATTACCAATTATTTATTTTTATTTCAGTTTATAGTTTTTATACTTTATTTAGTAGAAAAATATTCTCTTTATCAGTAATATTGAAGTAATGAATTTATATTAATTAATTTTTTTTGTACAGAAAATAGTAAATACGTACATGTCATACGGGTAATGCCGTAATGGTATACCGTTTATGCGTATAATAAAATAATAATATATAGGTATATTATATTTTATATTTTAAATAAAAATTATATACTTATATCTGTATTCTGTAATTCTGTATTCTGTACTGATTATTTAATATTACCGGAATTCCCTAAGGCCGTTTCCCGTAATGCAGCCTACATAGTACATGGACACATGGATTTATAATTTATGACAAGATGACAACATGATGGAACCGCTGTTTGGTTCGCTAGGTTGTGATGAATTAAAAAACGCTATCTATCACAAGCGGCGTAGTTTTGCGCTAAATTAAAAAATGACAATTTAAAGTTGCTGACCAAGCGTTACAGCAGCGCTGAATTATCGAAGGCACGGTACTCATATAACGACTTAATGAAAAGTGTAAACACATCATAATAAATAATTCATAGTTGATAACAAAAATGAAAAAATGTGATGTGAAAAGCGGTATTTAAACCGCTTAAAATTGGTAAGCGGTTATTTAAATATTTTGGAAACCGTTAAAAATCGGTAACTGGTAATCACTTTTTTATTGTGGTGTAAGGTAACCGGTAACCGGTAAACGGCACTTCTCAGAACAAGATAACTGGTAACCGGTTCTTAAAAAAATTTCGGCTCCTGACGGAGCCGATTACCTGTAATTTTGGAAACGGTTTTAAGCCCTGGTTTTTTTTCTATAATTGACAATAAAATTGTTTTCTTATTATCAAATAAAATTCTAAGCGTAATCTTTTATGTTACAAACAATTTACGCACTTTAGATAAGCTCTTGGGCTGCAAAAGGTCATATTTTCTAATATATCGGTATTTTTGAGTCAAAAATGATCAAAACAAGACCAAGACCCTTACAAGACTCTTGCTATTTCCACAAAATATATAAAGAAAAAAACTAAATACCTGTTATTGAGGAATCTCAAAGATTGATCGCGCTCTGGTGGTATAAATTGTAACTAGTGCAACTGGGCAACTTCGGTGTTATTGTTATTTTATTATAAGAGTGAATGAATGTGTAGTTTCTTTCATAGGCTTATGGTTCATTTTATTTACGTGTTTTATTATTAATTATTATAATTAATATTCATAATACAAAATACGAATGTCTATATATTTAAATTTTATATTAACCGACAATATTAGGTACTTATAAACTATTAAATAAAACATAATGGAAAATAGCGGCGCTAAATTTCCACCTCGTCCAAATAATGTCCACTCCAAGAACACTTTAAATCAGTTTGAGAAATAGGTTCTAATGAACTAATCCCATTCCTGAATAAATAGATCCACAAATAAAAATTAAACAATAAAGTAAGTTGTTTGGTATTTAAAAAACTGGTCAAAATGTCACCAAGCTAACACTAACCTGTTCAGATAAAGTAATGTTGACACAATATGTTTGCACTTTTGACTATTTCCGGCTTTGCATGTACATAATATTTTTGTTACTTTTAAACCATTTTCATTTAATTGTAAGCTTCCAGTTTTATTATGTGGTTTATCCCTTATTGCTGAAGTTTGTAAACACATACCTAATATATTAATTTCCTTTAAATCTTTACTAATAATATATCCACAATTTATTAGATGTCCACTATTTAAGATATTTTCTCCTTCAACCATATTTCGTGTGTTCGGAGTAGCACTACAAAAAGTATAAATATCCGCCAAAGAAATTCTATCCATTTTTATATTATGTTAGTAATGAATGTCTAAATATTAATTATAAGAAAAATGACCAAATTGTAGTTGTTAATAAAAAGATAACCATGAAATATTAAACATTAAATAATCTATTATCTTTCATAAAAATCATATTACATAAAATAATAATAAAAAAAAAAGGTGGGCAAGTGGGTGTCGCTCTGCTGTACAGTAGGTTACAAGTGGGTCATTGTATAATGGATGGTATTAAATTTGAATTCAATGATATAATATCATTGTATAAGAAAAACGATTCTGAGCGGAGACGGTATGTCCTTTTAGGTATAAGACATATTATATACATATCTATGGTATTAAAAAAAATTGACCTATAATGAATTCCAAATTAATCATATCACAATATCCATTAGGTACTTATAACGCGTTATACACCAACAACAAACCCTAATACTATCATAGATATATAATAGTACACTTTAGAAGTTTCAAGTACCCACGAATAATATTATTCAATCACAACAAAATAACTAAAATAGTTATTCTAGGTTTTTTAATATGTAATTTCGTCCAAATTTGAATTTAAAATGTCTGTAAAAAATAAGTGTGTTCATATATTTTTTAGATTTTTTGGTTACAGTATGAACTATTTACGAGAACCTTTGTGTTGAATTTGCAATCCTTAGCTATAAAAACTGAACATTTTATAATTTTTTAATTCCAACGATTGATAATTTTCGAGATTTTGATAAATTTTGTCAAAATTCCAACTTTAAATGCTTATAAAAAAAAATCGTGCCTATGTATTTTTAATATTTTTCAACTGATATTGTAACAAAATATCAGGAGCCTTGTATTAAATTTTTACACTTTTTGGCCCAACAGATAAAACTTTATTGATATTTATAGAAAAAAAAACTAAAAAAAATTGAAAGCTGTAAATGTCCATAAACAGCTCAAAAAGAGTCAAAATATTTTCAAAATTGTATGGTGTATAGGAAATGCTAATATAAACATTCAGTGAAATTTTCATGTATCTACAGTTATTCGTTTTTGAATTACAACAAAATAAGGAAATCGCTACATGAGAAATCGAGTGAAAATCCAATGTTGTAAAAATTTGAATTTCAAACGCTCATAAAAATTTAATTTGACTGTCCGGTAGAGATTTTTTTATTGATAAAGGTAGATAATCTTATAAGGAATCTTGTGTTTCATTTTCAAATCTTAGATTTAAAAAGAAAAATTTTTACGAATTCTTAACTCAAAATAATTTGCTAATTTTCGTGATTTTTCCATATTTTGTCAATTTTTGAACTTTAAATGCTTATAAAAAAAAATTGTGACTAAGGATTTTTAATATTTTTCATCTGCCTTTGAAACAACATATTAGGAGCCTTCTATTAAATTTTCAAGCTTTCGCAACCAATAAATAAAATTTTATTGATATTTTTAGAAAAAAAACTAAAAAAAAATGGAAAATGAAAATGTCCCTAAACAGTTCAAAATAAATCAAAATATTTTGAAAATGTTATCGTGTATAGAAAATGCAAATATAAACAACCAGTGAAAATTTCATGTATATACGTTCATTTGTTTTAGAGTTACACCAATAACCAAAATCGATTTTTTGGAAAACCAATTTTGCGTAAAAATTCCCGTTTTTCCTTAATTTTTATGTTGTTTTTCCCGGCGCTTGTGAAAACTACTGGGAAATTTATACTTTTGACCCCCCAAAGTACCAACTAGATTCACTTTCCTATCAGAAAAGCTACTGATGAAGAAAATCCAAGCACTTTTACTGTCCTAAAACGTGATGACAGACACAAAAATATATATAAAAAGGTCGGCAAGTGGGTGTCGCTCTGCTGTACAGTAGGTTACAAGTGGGTCACTGTATAATGGATGGTATTAAATTTGAATTCAATGATATAATATCATTGTATAAGAAAAACGATTCTGAGCGGTGACAGTATGTCAGTCTATGTATAAGACATATTATATACATATCTATGGTATTAAACAAAAAATTGACCTATAATAGGTACCTATAATAAATTCCAAATTAATCATATCACAATATCCATTAGATACTTATAACACGTTATACATCAACAAAAACCGTGATACTATCATAGATATATAATAGTACACTTTAGAAGTTTCAAGTACCCACGAATAATATTATTCAATCACAACAAAATAACTAAAATAGTTATTCTAGGTTTTTTAATATGTAATTTCGTCCAAATTTGAATTTAAAATGTCTGTAAAAAATAAGTGTGTTCATATATTTTTTAGATTTTTTGGTTACAGTATGAACTATTTACGAGAACCTTTGTGTTGAATTTGCAATCCTTAGCTATAAAAACTGAACATTTTATAATTTTTTAATTCCAACGATTGATAATTTTCGAGATTTTGATAAATTTTGTCAAAATTCCAACTTTAAATGCTTATAAAAAAAAATCGTGCCTATGTATTTTTAATATTTTTCAACTGATATTGTAACAATATATCAGGAGCCTTGTATTAAATTTTTACACTTTTTGGCCCAACAGATAAAACTTTATTGATATTTATAGAAAAAAAAACTATAAAAAATTGAAAGCTGTAAATGTCCATAAACAGCTCAAAAAGAGTCAAAATATTTTCAAAATTGTATGGTGTATAGGAAATGCTAATATAAACATTCAGTGAAATTTTCATGTATCTACAGTTATTCGTTTTTGAATTACAACAAAATAAGGAAATCGCTACATGAGAAATCGAGTGAAAATCCAATGTTGTAAAAATTTGAATTTCAAATGCTCATAAAAATTTAATTTGACTGTCCGGTAGAGATTTTTTTATTGATAAAGGTAGATAATCTTATAAGGAATCTTGTGTTTCATTTTCAAATCTTAGATTTAAAAAGAAAAATTTTTACGAATTCTTAACTCAAAATAATTTGCTAATTTTCGTGATTTTTCCATATTTTGTCAATTTTTGAACTTTAAATGCTTATAAAAAAAATTGTGACTAAGGATTTTTAATATTTTTCATCTGCCTTTGAAACAACATATTAGGAGCCTTCTATTAAATTTTCAAGCTTTCGCAACCAACAAATAAAATTTTATTGATATTTCTAGAAAAAAAACTAAAAAAAATGAAAAATGAAAATGTCCCTAAACAGTTCAAAATAAATCAAAATATTTTGAAAATGTTATCGTGTATAGAAAATGCAAATATAAACAACCAGTGAAAATTTCATGTATCTACGGTCATTTGTTTTAAAGTTACACCAATAACCAAATTCGATTTTTTGGAAAATCGATTTTGCGTAAAAATTCCCGTTTTTCCTTAATTTTTGTGTTGTTTTTCCCGGCGCTTGTGAAAACTACTGCGAAATTTATACTTTTGACCCCCCAAAGTACCAACTAGATTCACTTTCCTATCAGAAAAGCTACTGATGAAGAAAATCCAAGCACTTTTACTGTCCTAAAACGTGATGACAGACACAAAAATATAAATAAAAATATAAAAAAGGTGGGCAAGTGGGTGTCGCTCTGCTGTACAGTAGGTTACAAGTGGGTCACTGTATAATGGATGGTATTAAATTTGAATTCAATGATCTAATATCATTGTATAAGAAAAACGATTCTGAGCGGTGACGGTATGTCAGTCTATGTATAAGACATATTATATACATATCTATGGTATTAAACAAAAAATTGACCTATAATAGGCACCTATAATAAATTCCAAATTAATCATTTCACAATATCCATTAGATACTTATAACGCGTTATACATCAACAAAAACCGTGATACTAGCATAGATATATAATAGTACACTTTAGAAGTTTCAAGTACCCACGAATAATATTATTCAATCACAACAAAATAACTAAAATCGTAATTCTTGGTTTTAATATGTAATTTCGTCCAAATTTGAATTTAAAATGTCTGTAAAAAAAAACTGTGTTCATATATTTTTTAGATTTTTTGGTTACAGTATGAACTATTTACGAGAACCTTTGTGTTGAATTTGCAATCCTTAGCTATAAAAACTGAACATTTTATAATTTATTAATTACAATGATTGATTATTTTCGAGATTTTGATAAATTTTGTCAAAATTTGATCTTTAAATGCTTATAAAAAAAAACTGTGCCTATGTATTTTTAATATTTTTCAACTGATATTGTAACAATATATCAGGAGCCTTGTATTAAATTTTTACACCTTTTGGCCCAACAGATAAAACTTTATTGATATTTATAGAAAAAAAAACTAAAAAAAATTGAAAGCTGTAAATGTCCATAAACAGCTCAAAAAGAGTCAAAATATTTTCAAAATTGTATGGTGTATAGGAAATGCTAATACAAACATTCAGTGAAATTTTCATGTATCTACAGTTATTCGTTTTTGAATTACAACAAAATAAGGAAATCGCTACATGAGAAATCGAGTGAAAATCCAATGTTGTAAAAATTTGAATTTCAAACGCTCATAAAAATTTAATTTGACTGTCCGGTAGAGATTTTTTTATTGATAAAGGTAGATAATCTTATAAGGAATCTTGTGTTTCATTTTCAAATCTTAGATTTAAAAAGAAAAATTTTGACGAATTCTTAACTCAAAATAATTTGCTAATTTTCGTGATTTTTCCATATTTTGTGATTTTTTGAACTTTAAATGCTTATAAAAAAAAATTGTGACTAAGGATTTTTAATATTTTTCATCTGCCTTTGAAACAACATATTAGGAGCCTTCTATTAAATTTTCAAGCTTTCGCAACCAACAAATAAAATTTTATTGATGTTTTTAGATAAAAAACTAAAAAAAAATGGAAAATGAAAATGTCCCTAAACAGTTCAAAATAAATCAAAATATTTTGAAAATGTTATCGTGTATAGAAAATGCAATTATAAACAACCAGTGAAAATTTCATGTATCTACGGTCATTTGTTTTAAAGTTACACCAAAAACCAAATTCGATTTTTTGGAAAATCGATTTTGCGTAAAAATTCCCGTTTTTC